CGCTCGGAGTCCCCGCGCGCCGTCCTCAGCCTCGGGGAGCCCCGCTGCGGGCGGCCACGCCGAGGACGCGGGCGAAGCGACGGCGACGGGGCATTCCTGAAGTGTGTGCCCCCCGGGTGGATGGATGTATCGTGCACCTTTCTCCTTTTGAGAGCCGGACTTCACGCCTGTCTGCGTGTCGTCGCTGCGGAGGGGGAGCACAGCCCCGCGAGGTGAAGATGACGCCCAGCCGCACTGAGTTGGAATCAGTCGTGCTTGTGATGCATTTATTTCTGGAGACGGGCGCTCGCTGCTGGACTTGCTTCTGCTGGCGGTGGATTTGATTCCTCCCTAACAGTCTGGATGAGGCCTGTAGGCGACGCTGTGCGAGCGAGGAGCGGCTGCGGCGGAGCCGAGTTCGGCGCCCGCGTCCGGGTGTGGGTGGAGCCGTGAGCTGCGCTCCCTCTGGGCGTTGGAGTCGAGGCGCCGGACCAGGCTGGAGTACAAACTGAGATACGTACTGTATCAAGCCCTGTAGTCGCTCCCTGTAAAACGAGGGAGTGGTTGCAGTGGTTCCCGGTTCTCTAAGGTTTATTTGTGTAAATGAGAAGGGGGCTTCCTACAGGTAAAAGGTGCAGTAAGTAAGCAGGTTATATTCAGACAGGCCGAAGTTTGTGTTCTTTTAGTCAGCCTTAATTGTACTGTGCATATGCGTGTACCAGTGTGCTAAAACTATGGGAAAACTTGCCTACATGTTATTCCCTTGCCCCAGAAATCACCGAAGGGGCGAAGACCTTGTCACTCCTTTGCTGAGGACCCTGCCTTGGGTTCCTATCGCGACCCGAGTGGGTAAAAGCCAGAGCCGTGACGTTGCCCAGAGGGGCCGGGGTGAGGGGGTGAGGGGGTGAGGGGTCAGGGCTCTGCCGGGCTCCTTCCCCAAGTATTGGTAGGGCTCTCGCCCTCATCTTTCTGGAGTTTTGCTCAAATGTGAGGTCGGTGTTTCTTTGCATGGCTACCATTTAAACTGCAAATTCCCTGGTTTATCCCTTGGATATTCCACCTTTCTTATCCTTTTCTCCTTCCCCAGTAGAATGTAAACTCCAGGAGGACAAAGGTTGGGTTTTTTTCTGCTGGTGTTCTGTCCAGCGGCTAGGCTAGAACAATACCATAAGGTAGGTGTGGTGACACCCTCACCTCTGTTTCTGAAGTCTTTTTAATATGTGCTTAAGTATGCCTAACATATTTATATGCTATAGACAGCTTTATGAAAGGTGGTGAAAACTGGAAAAATGCAACTTTGTTGATCTGGAAAAAAGATCATTTGTAGACATTTGAAAGCTCACGAACTGGTGATATTTTTTGCTTTTAGGTTTCTAAAAAAGAGCAAGCTGGAGTGCAGTAGTTTAGTGGATCATATGATCGTATCCATAGTAGAATGAATCATTTTGCTTTCTTCATCCAGTCCTCTTCCCAAATACACGTTTGCGTGTTATTTTCAGTGAACTGGAGTCCGAGAATTTGGTTGGCTTTGCCCAAATCGAACACCTCTGGGAAAATTCGTTCACCCTATTGTGCACAAACTGTGTAGTGTAGTAGGCACAGGGATTCAAATGTGTTTGTGTCTAGAGCGAGGAGGCCTTACATATAGGGCTGCATAAGGCTACTCTGATTACTCAGTTATGCTGTCAGGCAAAGCAAAAGCTAGATTTATTTTTACAGTTTTCTTCTGAAGAAAAGGTTCAGTGAAAGCTGAGATCAAGCTTAGTGTAGCTCTTTTAATTCACCGTTTGGTTTGCTGTTTCTTTACATTTATCTCCCTTATGACAACACGTGGTGTACCAATAATTTAAAAATATTTTTAAAAACTATAAAACGAAGGAAAGAAGTATTTCCTGGTGGCTGGCAAAGTATTCTTTTAAATTAAATAAGTAAATACACCAGTACATTACAAGCTATACACTTACCCTTTGGCATGTTATGCTATTTCACATTTTCATATTTCATTTACTGAATTTTTGCACAAAAAAGTCTTGATATTTTAAAACCACTAATAACAATTAAACATTGTTTAGTAAATCAGTATTCTATTTATTACAGGTTTACTCATTAATCTTAAGAACAGATTAAGTAACACAGATCTCTCAGAATATATTGTTGTCTTTCAAAATAATAACATTTCAGTTTGCTTATGAAAGGATAATTATCTTCCTGTATACTTAAATGTTACTGGTGAACTAGTAATTTTGTATGTCTAAGGAACTGTAGCTGGTAGACTATGGTGGAGAAAGTCCTGGCATTACTGCAGAAGTTCATTTTTAATTTAAAATTTAAATATTTAGTTTCTTCCCTCACTTAAATACATATTGAGAACTTACTAGGTGCTAATTAGTTTAATGTTAGGCATTTCATATAAAATAATGAAAACAGACAAGGTAACTTTTTATAAGGGCTTTAATTTGAATATGGTTCATACCAGTTTTTCCCTCCAGTATACACTGTTCCAATGCATATCAGTATTTCCCCATTAAATCAATATTTTCCTTGCCTAAATTTTAAATTTAGGCAAAATGTAGGCCAAATTGAGATCTTACATAGAATCAATTAATAGTCACGTTTTCTTGATTTTGTCTTTTTCTCTTTTTTGCTTGTTGTCACTAACACTATCAATTTGTTTCACTCTTACACTTTTAAAACTCTTATGTCCAAAATCAGTTGACTTTTAGTAGCCTTATATTTCATTGTTATATCCTTGTCAATTTTTGTTTGGAAGGTAGCCCAATAAATCTTTAATAAGACCTAAGATTGCCTCCTTGCTTTAAGGAATGAGTTGCAGGATTCAGTTTTATTTGCTGAGTGTATTTTTGGATATTCTCATATGTAGTTTTGGACCGTAAACTGCAGGTTTAATATAAATTTTAAATGGATTTTAAATATTAACTACCTGTACTAAATACCATTGCAAAAATTAGTACAAACTGACACATTATGAATTCTTTATTGAAGAGTATTTATCTTAAAGATAAATGCAATTTACCATACAGTGATGGGAATTTAAAAAAAAACTTAGAAAATCATCCCACTATACTTGTTACTCATCCTTGTTAGTGATAAAATTATCTTTAATAGGAAGCAAGTTTTAAAGGATAGAAAAAAACAAGTAAAAGATATTGCATGAAAAAAGATATTGTATGAATGTTTTATAAGTTTTAGACTATCAAAATTATTTAATGTTTAGGATAATTAGGTTACCTTTAAGATTAAAACATTGATGAGTTAGTGATGCTGATTTTGAGATCGGAATTGTACAGTTATCAGATGATTTAACAGTCTGTAAGTATGTTCCTGTTTCAAGTTTTTTAAAGTAAGTAATCAAATTTGCAATAGTGGTTATGAGGCTTACTCAACATGTTTGGTCCATTTTTATTTAGAGTCTAGAAATTATTTTTTTTTCCTTCTGTGACGGTCTTTATTCATTTTGGCCTATTCTGGTCTTCAAGTATAAGCTTTAATGCCGGGTATGGTACCATACACCTGTAAACCCAGCACTCAGAAGGCTGAGGTGAGAGAATCATCCTCAGTTTGAGTCTGGCTACATAAGTGAGTTCAAGCCCAGCCTATATTACATAGTGAGACTCTGTCTCAAACAAACAGAATAAGCTTTATCCTTTTATTAATCCTTCTGACCTATAATTAAGACTTTTCTCTACATTTATAGATTTTAACAATGCTATTCATTTATAACCCAGTGACTTAACTATATTTGTTTGTTTTAGCATGCCTCATGTTTCTAAGTCAGAGTAACCAGCTACATGTTATACAAGTTTCAGTGAGCAAGGCATAGGGTAGGACCCTCAATGAAACGCATTTCTGAAATATGATTTCAATATAAAGTTATTTAAGGCCATAAATCTTCATGATAGCCTAATCTTCATGGAACCTACACATATGCTGGATCTGAACCAGAAAGTTAAACTGTACATGTATTTTAATACTGAATTGTTCTAGACAAACATCAGTTCGAAAATAGTTTTAATACAAAATTTATTAAAAACTTAAAAGATCTACAGTTGGTATGAAGGAAGCTTATGATGCTCATTTTAACTGATCTTTCACATCAACTTGTCAAAGCATCTGCTGTAGATCAGTATTGTTACGTATCATACATCATGAAATTAATTTAGTGGGTTTTCTAGCATTTTGTATTTAAAATACAGAAAATAAAAAATCTGAGTACATCACATATGGTAAAGATACAATTTCAAATAAACATTTTGTTTATGTGTGTGCTATGTGTGCTGAGTTACCTTAAAATATATTTCTTACTGTGAATTATAGGCAAAAAAGTGTTGTTGTTTTTTAATCTACAGCGCAAGTGTTTCTTTACCTCCATCTTAGAAAATGGAAAAAGGAGGTTAGAAATTTCTGATTGCCTATATAATAGTGGATTTTAGAGGAGGCACCAGGGTATTTTAGATTTGATACTGGTTTCAAAAAGGTAATCTAGGACAGAATGTATGTTGGTAAAATGTCAAAGATGATTAAAGTTAGGAGAAATTACTTTCCTAGTAGATTTAAATTTGTTATATTTAGATTATGATTATTGTTGATCTGTTGGAGCATATTTTCTAATATTTCAGATACAGCAAAATAATAAATGTGAAGCAACAGTTTGTTTCTCCTCTCGGCTTCCCTTCAATTTTAAGACAAGTGTTTATTAATTAGTTGTAGGAGAGCAAAGCAAATGGCCATCTTTTACAGAGTAATTTATAAGAACAAGTTACTCCTTAAAAATATAACTTCTCCCACAAAAAAACTCATAAACTTTCAGTGAAGTTTTTTGCTGTAGCCAAAGTATATAATTTAAGTGTTAACTCTCACTTGCCATTTCATTTATTCTATATATTTAAATAAATGTACTTAAAATTGTATACAGGACTTGAAAAGAAAAACGACAGACTTGTGTACAAAATTAAAAGGGAAGACATATTGTATGAATAGAATTTTAAAAACCTAAAAATAAAGGATTATATGATTCTGAAATGTTTTAATAAAATTTAAAGATTTCTTACTGTTTCACTTTATTTGCTATGTGTAGATTTTAGTACTGTACTGTTATGAAGTCTATTTAAGGGAGCATTAATAAATACTTTGTTTTTCAGAAATGTTAGCCAGGACCTTTCAATGATAGATACGTAAGTTCTGGCTTTGTTAAAACATTAGCTATGTACAAAATTTACTAGAGAATAACATAAACATCTCTTTGAATTTTGAAGCCAAAGCTATTCATCCTGAAATTTTCAGTATAGCACTACATACCCTTACATGAGAATTATACTACTACCAGTAGGGGGAGATAAGTCAGCCTTACAAGGTAGGCATCTAAAGGAAGAACACATGACTTCCTGTTTTGAATTTAACTGTTGTTGCAGCTGTTTCTGAGTTTACTAAAAAGCAGTCAAAAAGAAGGGCTACCAATGTATTAAATGTGGATAAGGTGACAGTTTTAACTGACAAAATTGTCTCTTACAAACCAAATTGAAAATAGTATACTTCTGTTCAAATTAAGGACAGCACAAGGAAGGGTATTTGGCATCAAAGATAATTATTTTAAAACCATTTGTTAAAAGCTAAGCAAGTATAATGTGCAAACGTGAAGATGCTGATTTTCTACAATGGTTGGTGAAATGTGAATTAGAACAAAGAAGAACTTATCAACCATTAACCAAAGGAAATTTAAATAGAAATTTAAAAGTGGAAATGTCTCAGTATTATAACGTAAGATGGGAAGAAGGAAAAAAAAAAGCCATGATGAATTGCTACCCAGATGTAGCAGTGAGCATTTCTTAGTAACTCCATATTTACTTAAAGCTGAAATTGGATTCTAAATAGGCACATTTTAAAATTACAAAGTGGTACAAATAAATAGATTGAATATATTGTTTGTGCTTAATCTAAGAAATGGTTAAATTTTAGAAAATTATTACAGTGAATAATTAATGTAATGAAGTGA